ATAGCAGATGGCTGGGCCAAAATATCATCTTCTGGTTGAAAGCCCTGCCAAAAGACTCCGAGCAAGCATGGAAGAGCTGCAACGAGCTCTTTGGGAAGTGTCTTAGGCTTGGTCATATTGGTAAGACTACTCATTGGATTGATTTGATTTCATCGCTCACCGGGGTCCAGATAATATTTCCAAAGAGATTTTAGGCTCTCTACTCTTACAAAAAGAAGAAGATGCAGCAAAATTCTTAAAGCTATATGGATACCTTCCAAGCTTTGAACAACGGAATCTACTTCATACATTTTTAAATCTATTGTCACGGGATAATTTATCATTGGATATCACATCGGAGGACGATGAGAAGTGGTGGCAAGCAAATGAAGTCATCGTATCAGCAGCGGCTAAGCTCATTAGCATGCTAATCGCTGATAATGAGTCGCGGAAAGATCATCTGATAACTTGGTTGACAAACTCCTCGGGGGCTGGTATAGGCGAAGGTGTGGCAATTCGACGTGCTGCAATCGCATCCCTCTCAAAAAGCAAGAAGGATATGGAAAGCATATTGGAAAGAAGTTTGAGCCAGTTTGGTGATAATTTGTATATTAGACATGCGCCTACCTTGCAACAAGAAGGTATGCTTTTTCAAAAAATCAAATGCCATTCCTTTGCTAATATGATTCCAAGTACATGCACAAGTTCTCCTCCTGTCTGCTGGATACGTTTGTAGAATGTCGCCTCTTCGACTTGCGATGATCATGAGGTCGGGTTCTCATTTGAGTGTTGTTTCAAATAGATTAGCTGCATCATCACCTCGAGCACGCTTCTTGGGTATGGTCATTGGAGAAGCCATGTCCAGCTTAGTCGATAAAGGAGATAAAATCATGGATTTCAAGATTGAAGATACGAAAACGTCCGAAGCAAAATGGTACAAGAGTTTGGTAAACGTATCAGATACAATTGGCAATCTCGAGCCTCTCAAGTCGACGTTTGTTCCAAAAATATCGAAAACAACGAAATCTGCAAAGGCCAAGCCAGCGTCAAAGCCAAACCCCCTCAAAGGAAATTCTAAAATCATCTCCATCGAAGAAATTGAAGACGATGACGAAGTAGAATCTGATGACGATGGACTTACTCCTTATGCCAAACCTGATTCCGATGTCGAAGACTCCGATGAAGATCCAACACTTGTCATCAGAAACAAACCAACAGCTCCCGTCTATATTCGTGATCTCATCACCTATCTAAGAGATACTGAAAACTATGATCGTCAAAAACTAGCACTTACCACTGCAGCTTCCTTGATACGGCGTAAAGCCAACTTTGGCGCAGAGGTCAGTTCTCACGCGGAAGAGATCGCAACTCTTCTTGTTGGTTTGCAAGATAAGTATGATATCGAGAACTTCCAAGAAATGCGTTCCCAAGCTATGATCGCCATCCTCATTGCACTACCAGAAAAAATGGGCCAATGGTTTTCGAAGACATTCTTTGATGGCGATTATTCTCTAGCTCAGCGTGCTGCTGTTCTTACCACACTCGGTCTTGGAGCTCGTGAGCTAGGCGGCCATGGTACTGAAGACAAGTCTCTCAACAATGCCACTGGTTCATCTTCATCTTCATCGACTTTTCCTTCAAAAAAGCTCCCAGAAGCAATGCACAGACACTATTCTCCGTCCCCTTCAAAGCCTGCTCTTACTGCTCTTAGCGCAACAGCCAACCCCGTCGAAGCCCTAACCAGCAGCCTGCAAAAAACTTTCCTCGCGCCTCTTGCAGCCCAAACAGCCGACAGCTTAAGCGGTCCAAATATTCTCAAAGTCCGCACTTTTTCCTCGCGCCTCGAGGTCGAGAAAAAGCGCAAAAAGCCTATCTCCAATGCCCTTGCCAAAATCGTCTCTACCTCATTTTTCTTCCCCTTAACCGGTCGCTTTTTTATTCATCTCAGAGCCTACGGTTCAAACTCTTCTTCCAACATCGCTTTCCAACCCTATCTCCTCAGCCTCTTTCTCAAAACCCTTAGTATAATTCTCCACTCTTCCGGACAATCAACACTAAGTCTTCCACAAATGACGAGCGAATTTTGGGATTTATGTCTTGGTTTAAGAATGCAAGCGATGACAGATACGGTAGTGCAAGAAGCGCTATTGTTTTCTTTCATGACGATTTTGGAGATTAATGATGGAGATCTTAGGGGTCTGGCGGAAAGACATGGGAGGGAATTATTGGAGACGAGGGGGTGGGTTGAGGGGGTTTTTAAAGGGATTGGCGCGGGGAGTGAGGAAGATGAAAAGAGGAGATTACTTGCTGCGGGCGTGTTGGTCAGAATTGGGGAGTGTGTGGAGAAGTGGCAGAGGCTTATGGTGGGGGATGTGGTAGGGTTTACATAGACGAATCGGATGAAATGCTGAGAGAAATGACGTCTCCTTGCTTTTGATGCATGAGCTAGACTTTTAAGTCCCCGGCTCGAGCCCGGATAGTCGTGTAGACAAACTTGCAGGAGATGTTGATCAAATTAAGATAAGAAATCGATTGAAGCGAAGGATATAGCTGTAAATTGTTTTGAGAGAACTTCTGCACCAGTGAACTTTCACAACTGGTAAGAAGAATCGATGATACGCTAATTGGATATCCTGAAGCCACAAATGTTGAACTGAATGAGCGACTGCTTTTTCAAAAATACCTTGTTCGATAACATAAATCTTCCAATACCTAGGTAATTATTTGCACTTCTCCCAGGTACGCTGTTAAAACCACGCAGCAATAAAAACAGATTTTTTTACATCTTGTCCCATATCCTTCATATTGGTTGTTGTCCAACATGCATTCTAAATCCCTTTCGCCGTTTAAAGGTTCGCCCTGTCGCCCCTTGCCCTCATAACCCTCCTAGCACTATTCAGCTGCGCCCCTAGATCTTCGTTCCAAATCCACTTGCACCTCTCCACCAATTTCTCCTTCATACTCTCAATATTCACACCTACGCCATCACCCCCTACATCCTCCTCATTCTCGAACTCATAAAGCTCCGCTGCTTCTCTACTTGTCTTCACTACCTTTTGACTTCTCGGCCTCCTAATCTCGTCGTACGCTCTAAACGCATTTTCAATGTCACCCACTCCCTTGCAGTCTCCGAGTAAATTACTCAAAACAAAGGCATCTTCGATAGCTTGCCCCGCACCTGCTCCTTGATGGGGAGTACTTGCATGAGCTGCGTCACCTGAGAGCACAAGCCTACCTTTATAGTAAGTTGGAGCAGGAGGGTGATCGAAGAGAGCCCAGACGTCTGGTTTTTCCATAAGTGATAAAACGTGCTTTGCGTCTTTACCCCAGCCTTTAAAATCAGAGAACATGTCTGACTCTTTCATTGGAATAACCCATTTTTCGTTTTCCCACTTTCCATCCGGTTGCGTTTGAAAAGCTACGACATTCATTGTGGCGCCTTTTTCAATGGGGAATGTTAGGATCTAGAGGGATGTTAGTTTCTATTGAATCAGATGAGGGAAGAATACTTACGTGACTTTTGTGGCCTAGGTACATCTGACTGTTTTTGGCTAAATATTCTCCAACAGCTCCAATGGCCTTTTCCATGGGAATCAGACCTCTATATGCATACTTTCCACTAAATACCGGTAAAGTTGCTTCATGATCATCGCCCAGAACCATGTGTCTCGTCCTCGATTTAATACCATCACACCCAATCACCGCATCCGCCTCTGCAGTCGTTCCATCCTGGAAAGTCATCAATAGCCTACTTCCCTTCTCCTCTACCTTCTCAACTCTCTTTCCAAATTGTGCGATTTCTTTTGGAACCAGTTTAACCAATTCGTCGAGAAAGTGAGCTCTGTGAACAGAAGCTTGTCCATAACCTTCGGCCACAACTTTAGCCAGGAATTCTCCTTCTTTAACTGGTGGTTTTCCTGTTTTGAAATCTTTCCAGCCGTCTTCGGACGTGCCTATCCGGAAATCAAACCAGACATCTCTTTCTTCCGGTGATCCATTGTAGGTTGCGCAATTGCTAAAGCCGCGTTTGATAGCTGGATCTATCAATTCCATTGCTCTGATAGAATTGGGTCCGAATGATACTCCTGCACCCTGTGGAATATGAGCATCAGAGTAAATTATGAAGGAAAACGTGTGATCATACAATTTCCGCAAATGCAGGCGCGGCTTCGTATACTATGCATGGAATGTTTTGTTTTATGAGACCAATTGCCATACATAATCCACCGATACCTCCGCCTGAATAGTTATTAGGTGAACTTTACTTTGATTTTAAGGTTGCAACATACCGCAAATGGCGACATGGAAAGGTTTCTTGGATTGAGTGGATGCTGACATCATAGAGAAAACAACCAGGAACACCTTGGTCTGGTTTATGAGATGGTATATGGTATCGAAAGAAAATTATAGGTAGAATATAACGAGAAGACGACTTGGAGAAGGAGGACTGAGCATAGGAAAGGAAAGCACATCTCAAAGGACGTAGAAGTATATATAGTAGAAACAGACAACTATATCTGGGGTATACTAATGTGGCACATACGACCGCTTACCACTCCAACATCAAGCTAATTGTCATGTATTTCGGAGCGGCTCTTGCCAAGCTCCCCGCATTCAATCATTTATATAATTGATTTATCAATACTTGGGGAAACATACGCCATTCAAACCCCAATTCGGGCCTCGGCATACAAAGACGGTACCAAGTTTATAGTAATACCTTGGCCATGAGAGGTCAAGGTCGGGGAGATAACTCTGTCCCGAAAAAGTCTGAGACTAAAAAGGAACTTGCGTCGGTCATGCAGATGTGGACCAAGCACTGTTCTTGAGTAATCTTGCACGTGATCACGCGCTCTCAGCGCGATCTTCCTCACACGCGAAGTCTTATCGTTATCGCCCCCTCATCGCATCTGGTTCTTTCTATCACTACCTACCTTCATCTCCTCCTCAACATACACTAGAAGACGTTAATTTGCTGGTCCAAATACTATCTTCGTTCGCTCCTTCAAATAATCGACATCATGCCTTTAGGTTGGGAGAGAATCAATGCCAAAAGAACACAACCAAATAATAACATCGTCTTCATCAAACCCCTCTCTGGTGAAGATCAATCCAAATCTCAAGAATTTTTGGAACGAATTGCTGCACAATGTACTCCCATAATGAACAAACACCATCTCGCTGTCGCATCACTAGAAGAGTATCCCCCCAACTTAGAATTCTGGGGTATGATTCCCCCTTCTCAACTCATGCTGCTTATACTAATCAACTATGCAGGTCGCAATTTCAATAACGGAGAAGTCATACAACTTGTACTCAAGTCGCCTTCAACAGGCAGATGGCTGCCGTTCAAATTTGTTCAGATGGTTATGATGCATGAGTTGGCGCATTGTAAACAGATGAATCATTCTGGGGCATTCTGGAAAGTTAGAAATGAATATTCGGCGGAGATGAAGGGGCTATGGGAGAGGGGATATACAGGTGATGGACTTTGGGGACAAGGTGTACTATTGAAAGATGGTGCGTTTATGGGAGATCAGTTGGGTGAGGGAGAGGTATTGCCGGAACACTTATGTGGTGGAACTTTTAAGTCGAGAGGGGGAGGGAAGAAGAGGAAGGCAAAAGCGAAGATCACTTATAAGGAGCAGAAAGAGAGGAGAATTAGAAAGAAATTTGGTGTCAATGGAGTTGCTTGTGAGTCTGGCATCTATATCCTACCAATGCTATTCCTCTTCTTCAATCTCGAAGCACAGTACTAATCCAAACAACCGCAGTAGGAGAAGACGTCGCTACAAAGGTCGCTCTTGAGAAAGGTAAAAAGAATCTTTCCAAGCCTAAAGTAGCGGGTAGTAAACGAGGCCGAGAACTTCGCGCTGCTGCTGCATTGGCTCGTTTCGAAGTGAAAAAAGAAGAGCCAGACATAAAAGACGAAGATCTAGTCACCGATAGTGAAGCAGAAAGTGATGTGGAAGACGAAATGTACATCAAGCCTGAACCAGATGATGCACTTGATCTTGATGGAAGTAGACTTGTGGATCGAAAGGGGAGGGGAATGGTCAAAGTTTGTGAAGATGAGGACAGAGATAATGAGGATGCGAAGAGAGAGTTCGAGGAATTGAGAGGGATGGAGAGTATTGAAAGATACTTTAAACCGGATAGCTCATCAAAGATTAAACAGGAATCGCAAGAAGAAGCGACAAAAAATTGCCCAGGGTCGTCAAAGACAGAAAAGCCGACTAGAAGCAACAATATCGAGACGAATACCCCCACCGCAAAACCCCCTTCGATCAAACCAAGACCGCCCATCGCTATAGTCCCCGAAACCAAATTACAAACACCTCCTCTTAATTCGGCGTCGCCAAGAACCAAGTCTCCACCCCCATCTCCATTTCCATCAACCTGTCCAATTTGCTCCCTAGAAAACCCACCTTATTCCCTCACCTGCACCATTTGCGCCAACGTCCTCCGTCCCAAAGACGTACACAACTCGTGGAAATGCACAAGTGCAGTGTGCAGAAACGGGTCGTACATCAATGCCGGAGATGTCGCTTTCTGTGGTGCTTGCGGAGGAAGGAAAGGGAAAGCGATATGAGAACGCTTGTTTTGGAGTTAGGAGGTGGAATTTTAGATTGCTTTCCTGAGAGCGGGGAGTTAACAATGTATTTATGATGGAGTTCCGGGAGTGTGGGGAGGGGGGGAGAGGTGGGGGAAGGGGGGAATTAATCTGTAATGGGTTTGGTATTTGTATAGAATAGATTAGATGTAAGGTTAAGTTTATCATTTTGGGAAATAATGAAAATGAGAATAGGAAATCAAAATAATTAAAGATGTTAGAGAAATAACATAAACTACCTATCTATCTACTCATTTCGATAAATATTGAGATAGTAGAGAAAAAGCTCACCGGTCGATACTTTATTCTTCTAGGGTTAGTCATGTCACGTTTTTCGAAACTCTACTCCAAACTCCAAACTCCAAATTCCAAACTTCAAAAAAGAACTAAAATTAGATATAGAAATCAAGTCAACGGGATGAAATAACGAAATCAAGTTTGTCTTTTTTTTATTTTATTTTTTTATTACGTATTATGTATTATAAGTATAAGTTTATGAATATGAGTTTATAAATATAAGTTGTAAGCTGTATACTATACATTATATATTATTAATATAAGTTTATGAGTATGAGTTTATAAGTATGAGTTATAAGTATGAGTTATAAGTATGAGTTATAAGTATGAGTTATAAGTATGAGTTATAAGTATGAGTTTATAAATATAAATTTATAAATATAAGTTTTTGAATATAAGTTTTTGAATATGAGTTTATAAGTGTGAGTTCATGAGTGTGAGTTTATAAGTATGAGTTTATAAGTGAATTGTAAGTTATAAGTTGTGAGTGAGTTATAAGTTATGATTTGTAAGTTGTGAGTTATGAATATGAGTTGTGTATTATGAGTTGTGTATTATGAGTTGTGTATTATAAGTTATAAGTTATGAGTTGTAAGTTATGAGTTATAAGTTATGAGTTGTAAGTTATGAGTTGTAAGTTGTATACTATGAATTTATGAGTATTTATGAGTATTTTAGGAAAGAGAGAGGGAGGGGAGGTTTCATGGAATGGATGGGATGGATGGGCTTGGAAACTAGTGTTCATATCATATCATGTTAAATTTATATTGTTTGTCGTTCAGTTGGGCATCTAGCTGTTTTCGTGGATAGATAGATAGATACTATATTATATTATGTTATATTATGTGTAGGTTAGATATAGATGTAAATATGAATATCTAGGTATGTATAATTCATATGATAAGAAGAGAGATGATAAGATGAGATCAAACCAGATATATCCTACCTCTACGTAAGCGAAAAAACGGGCGGAAATTGAGTACCTTTCAAAGGACTTTTTTAATAGATGATAAATTCATTTCAAATTAAATATTGAAATTTGAAAAAAGCAAAAGAAAATTTAAGTCTTCTTTGTATTGATTCTAAATGGTTTTATGATTTAATATTATATTCAAAAGAGATCTTAGTTGTTGAAGGTCTTTCGAATGGTGGTCAATTTCCGCCTGTTTTTTTTGCTTACGTAGATCCTACATACCTAGTGATTTTATAAAGATGATACGGTAAAGATCACTGGCTTTTTGTTTCGAAGTTTTGGGTTTGGGTATGATTCTTTGGTTTGGATGAAGCAGAGAAACCTTGGAATGAGAAGGTTTGTGTAAAATCGATTGGGTAGATAAGTCTAATGGTATTCTACCGAAGATGGAAGTACAACGTTGATGGATGGGATTCAGATGCATGTTGAGCTGTTCTCGCAGTATCGTAACTCATTGGATTTTGTGCACTCGCTCTATATTTTCTCATTCTTTCCCTTTCGTACTTCCTTCCCTCCCTACGCGCTCTCTCTCCTTCTACTAATCGATAACATCATCCCTCAGCGCAAAGAGTTCCGCCATCATTTCTCCCGTCCTACTCCTCACAGCATCATGATACATTCCATTAGTAACCCACTGTTTACATCCCCTCACCAATTTAACTGTTTCTTGCGCTAGCCCAAAATCCACGTACATGTCATCCACATACGTAGCTGAATACATGGGAACTTCATTTCGTGCCAATTGCCATTCATCGTATAGAGGGGGCCATTCTGTGTATTCGGCTAGGATCTTGGCGGCTGGGTAGATGGCGGAAAGTTCGGGGGAGGTTTCGAACATGAAGGGATAAATCATTTCACCGGAGAAGAAGAGCGGCTCGCTGATTAGGGAGGAGGGGGAACGGGGACGCCCGGTGAGCCATTTGAATTCGGAGAGGGACCTTCCTACCTGTAGCAGAAAAGTTAGGGATTAGATGGATGGTGATAGAGGCGATGGAAGAGAACTTACTCGGTCGGCGGCCCAGTCTGAGGCTTTGCCTTGGCAATAGATGGATTCGTGCAAGATAGCGTAGATTACATTGTTATCCATACTATGGGAATATTAATGACCATTTATCAGGAGGAAGTTTGGGAATAGCGAAGAATTTGGTGAGTGTTGGAAGTTTGAAAGGGAAAACTGAAAACTGCTCACCTGACAATATCCTCAATAGCCTTAAGAGTAGGTTTAGTAATGAACGAATACTGATCCAAATCCGAACTCATCCTTAACACGATATCATGAACCAGATCCAAACCTCCATGGAAACCAAACTGAATACCCATAGTTAAGAACATTCTCACAGTCAATGTACCACCAGATGGCATTTGTAGTCCATTCTTAGCGCTAATGTGAATTGCTAGACCTTGAACAACAGCAACATCTTCGGGAAACTTTTGATAGTAGGCCCGGTTTCTCTCAATTACTTTTTGAAAGGTAGCGCGATAGACTCGATCGGCCGAGTGACCAACTGGGGCAAGACCACCGCTGGTGAAAACTTCACGTAGACCTTGGTGGTGAAAAGAGAGATACGTGAGGATGCAAAAACCACCAAATGATTGGCCGAACACGGACCATCTGTATGATGTTAGCGGGTGTTCACTCTGGATTTCAATAACGTGGAATCAGTGGTATGAAAGATGAACTTCGTCTGTGTCGAGAGACAAAGTTCTGAAAGGGGACGGGAAGAAGGAAATGTTTTGGGATAAAAAAAACAATTGGAAATGAGAACTCGGAAGAGAATGAAGAAAATTACATACTTCTTGAGTTCTTCAGGATAATCAGCAGTGAGTATCTTTCTTATAGCCTCACAATCCCTCACAATATTATCAGCTCTGAAATGCTTAAGATAATCGGCTTGACGTTGGGCATCTCCCTGCAAAGCCAAAGTACCAGCTGAAATCGGATTACTCAATCCAGTTCCCCGCTGATCAATATATAACATTTGATAGCCTTTATCGAGAACTACATTGGTAATTGGAGAATCTTGAGGTGGTCTGCATCCAAAACCTGGTCCACCTTGGAGGTAAACAAACCAGGGCTTTTGGGAAGACTTGCGGTTTTCTTCTTCCGTGGGTTTTGTAGCTGGATTCTCATACTTGATTACACTGCGTGCGAATATTCGAATTGAGCCTTTTGATTCATTAGAGTAGCTAGATAGGTAGGCTGGAGTTAGAGTCTTATCTTTCAAAGCAGATACTCGTTGCTGTTTGTTGGGATTATAAGAAATTCTCTGGGGATATCACTCACTCCAAAGGAACCTCGAAAAATAGTTCCGAAACTTTCAGCTTTCCTAGGGATATGTTAGTTTAAATTTCTTGCTTGGTAGTGCTAAGCAGAGATCAATAATAGATTCAGATAGGAAACAGGACAAGTCATGTATTGTTTGTAGATTGAGTCCAATTTGAGCAGATGAGACCAAATTGGTCATGACAGATACAAAAACATGAATATGTGAGTGTTTTCCAAACATAGAGAATCAAAAGGCAGATAATATCTTACCTGGTATCAAATGTGTTTTTGAATCCACAAGCTGAGATGAGGACATTTTGCTAGGTAGTTTTGAGGCTGGTGTTGTCCTTAACAATTTGAAGAGTTGCTTGTTGAGGTTGAGCATAAGAAGTATCTCAAGAAAAGGCAATTCTATAAATTGAAGGGCACAACAAGATCGATCTAAAGAGATCTATAAACTGTTGGATGAGCACACCGCTGACTGAAGTGCGCTTTGCTTAATATGATATCTCAAGCGCAAAGAAAGATAAGCAACAGATGGTGGAGAAGAGTGAGATTGTACACCTATCCATGTATGATACTTGAAGAATATAAAGGAGGATCACCGCTTTTATATGTAGCGAATGTTATCGGGTTGAGATTTTCACAAGTGTCTTGTATGAAGATATAATCTCGATATATAACATATACGGGACTGGACTCCAGGAGGGGAAGCCATGCAAACGTGGGGCCAAGTCGGCCTTCAAGGGTAGATGGCTGGATTGCTGGATTGCCTCTTGCTTGCCTTCTGCACATTAACACGCCTGCGCTATCACACAACACAATCCACCCCACCAAGAAATCAACAAACATCCATCTTTATCAAAGAAGAAAGAGTTGATTGGAATAACCTGGGAAGAATAGGGAAAGCTTAAAGGTATGTGATATTCAATACCTCTCTTTACCTACATAGTAATTCCAGATACATTTGAGATGAAGGAGAGAGTACAGTTTGTAGTATCATGGTTTCGTATGGTTGCTCACTATCATTCAATTGATTGAGAAAATGAAAGTTCGTTTTTTATGGGTCCCGTGCTTGCAAAATCTTCCATTCACTATCCTGTGGTTACATGATACCACATACATACAGGATCAGACACATCCGTACGGCTTCAAAGCTCCTCGGAACTTACATATAAAGCCATTAGAGGATCGATCACATCCAAGCCATCTGAGCTACTACGCACTACCTCTACAGAATCGCTGACTCTCTGTTCTTCAGTCACGTGATACGTGTGCCCCTCCCTCTTGACTTTCTGGTCGACTCTTCAAGATGGCTAAAGACAAGAAATCCAAGTCTGAAGACAAAAAGAAGAAGCTTGCAGAAAAGAAGCAAAAGCAAGAGAAAAAGGCCGACAAGAAAGAAAAGTCGAAAGCTCAAAAATCCAAATCCGCCGACGACAGCGACAATGAATCCATCGATCTCGATTCTGTTCTTGCCGAGTATGCTAAAGCTCAAGAATCGTTCTTGAAGATCACAGAAGTGGTTTGCGAGCCTCCGAAACCAAGAGCTTCTTCGACTCTCATCGCTAGTCCTAATAATGCGAATGAACTATTTTTATTCGGGGGAGAGTATTTCAACGGCGCTTTGGCGACTTTCTTCAATGACTTGTATGTGTATGCGGTTAATAAGGATGAGTGGCATGTAGTGACTAGCCCAAATGCTCCATTGCCAAGATCTGGACATGCGTGGTGTAGAGGTGGAAATGCAGGGGGCATATACATGTTTGGAGGGGAGTTTTCCAGTCCGAAACAGGGAACTTTTTATCACTATAATGTGAGTTCTTTCACGCCATATCATTATACATCATACTTTCAGACTTAAGAACTGGGATACAAATAATTGATATATGAATATATACTAACAATACACAGGATTTCTGGCACCTCAATCCCTCTGAACGTGAATGGACACGTCTAGAAACCAAGGGCAAATCTCCCCCCGCTCGTAGCGGTCACCGCATGACCTACTACAAAAACTACATTATCCTATTCGGCGGTTTCCAAGACACATCGCAAGCGACCAAATATCTCTCCGACCTCTGGATCTACGATACTTCCAACTTCATCTGGCACAATCCCGTCCTTCCCCCCGTGACCCAGAAACCCGACGCCCGATCCTCCTTCACCTTTCTCCCGCACGAGAACGGCGCCGTGTTGTACGGAGGCTATTCCCGTGTCAAAACAAACGTCTCAGGAAAACAGATGAAAGGCGGTGGAATGGCCATGCGCAACGTGCTCAAACCCATGGTCCACCAAGACTGTTTCTATCTCCGCATTACTCAGCCCGCCGATACATCGACCGCCGCTCCTCCCACCGTGCGTTGGGAACGCAGGAAAAAACCAGCCAACACCCCGAATCCTCCACGTGCAGGCGCTACAATGGCTTACCACAAAGGGCGCGGTATTCAATTTGGCGGTGTACACGATGTTGAGGAATCCGAGGAGGGAATCGATAGCGAATTTTTCAATACGCTATTCGCATGGAACATTGAACGAAATCGTTATTTCCCCCTTGCCCTACGTAAGCCACGAGCTCAAAAGAAAAACAATGGGGGAAACGAGCGCGGAGGAGGAAGAAGAGGAAGAGGCCAAGCGAACGAAGAAGAACTCCTACGCAATCTCGCCGCGCTCGAGACGGGCAAATCGCTAGCCGATGCAGATGATATGGAGATTGACACCAGCAAGCCCGAAGATGAAGACGCAGATGCCTTACCCGCTAAGCAGATTCTCATGGAATTCCCCCACGTCAGATTTAATGCACAGTTGGCTGTTCAGGATGATGTTCTCTACATCTACGGAGGTACATATGAGAAAGGCGATCGCGAATTTACGTTTGATGAAATGTACGCGGTCGATCTAGGCAAAATGGATGGCGTAAAAGAGATATTCAGACGAGAGCCCGAGAACTGGCTTGGCAGCGAGGAAGACAGCGAAGACGACGAAGAAGATGAGGACGAAGACGACGAAGACGAAGACGACGAGGAAGATGCCGACGAAGATGGCGATGTCAAAATGGACGATAAAAAACACCTGCACACCGAAAGCACACGCAAATCCAAGCGCAAAGAGAAGGATGCTCTTTCCTCGGAGCTCCCCGATTCATCCCCTGTTACTGCTGCGCCCGAATCCTTCGACGATACACCCGATACCTCGACGACCAGTCCGGACGATCATCTCCCGCATCCTCGTCCGTTTGAAAGCCGTCGCGATTTCTTCCAGCGCACGGGCAATGAATGGCAGGAAGCGTTGATGACGGGACTGCGCTGGAAGGGAATCCAGCCTGAAACGCTCAGTGTTAAGGAGATTAAGACGAAGGCGTTTGAGATGAGTGAGGAGAAGTGGTGGGATTGTAGAGAGGAGATTGTGGCGTTGGAAGATGAGCAGGAGGCGAGTGGGATTGGAGAGGTTGTGGCGTTGGCGGAGAGGGCGGAGGGAGGTGGAGGGGGTGTGGGAAGGAGACGGTAGGTTTGGTGTGATAGGGTGGATGGGTAGATGGATAGGTGGACTATGAGCTAGCAAAATTATGCATATTCTACCATCCTCCTCCTCATGATTTCCAATACCGATCAGAATGTCTGAATCTTTATACTTAAAGATACTCGACACTCAAGACTTGAACTCCTGACTTCCTCTCATTTCCATTTTCCCTGGGTATCCCAATATAAGAACTAAATATACATACGTACAATCACGAAGATATCCATCAAGGTGATCATTCTTCCCACTAACTCGCCTACTTAATTGATCGCCAGATCCCAACCCCAAGCAATCCCAAACTTCTCCCCTCTCCCCTCCCTCCCACATCTTCTCATCCCGTCCAACCCTCCCTAAGCACCATACCTATTAAAACACTCTTCCTTATGTGTCCCCAAACAATCCAACGCACACACCCTCCCTCCACACCTCATACACTTCACTCTCCCCCAATACCCACACACCTCACAGAACACTCTCCCGGGTTTCCTGCGATCCTCCTCCGTCCAGCCCCCTCTCGCCTCCCCATAACTCAACGGCGGCACCTCCAACAACCTCTGCATCTCCTGCACACTCGGCAGATTCGGCACGCGCGAAACAAGCAACGGGTCGTGATCTCGGGGGTGCGGTTTCGGGGGCGGCAAGGCGCACAAAAACGGCGCGAATGTGGATTCGGCTTGCGTGGATATCGCAGGTGTGGAACTCACTGCAGCTGCTGTTTCCGCTTCGGAGTTGATCATCGGTGCGCTCGTGCTCATGGTTCGTAGGGGTGTGGAAATGGCCGGGGCGTTGGGATCTTTTCTTTTGTGGCTGCGCTTGGGGTCGATGATGGGGGGGAGGGGTTCTTTTCTTTTGTGGCTGCGTTTTCCGGTGCTGGTGAAGCCGGGGGCGGGAGGGACTTTGGGGGTGGAGAGGGGAGGGGGAGGGGGTTGCTGGACGGAGGTTGTGGAAGTGGAAGTGGGAAGGGCGGAGAGGGCTTCGAAATCGGAGAGATGGTTTGCGAATGTTTTTTGGGAGGCGAGGATTTTGCGGACCGAGGGGGTGAGTTTGGTTTGGTTTCCTATTTGTGATTTGTATTAGTATTTATTTGAACACATATATATCTCTAACTTCCTCTCCCCTCTTCTCTTCTCTCCCTCTCCCCGAAAGCCCCCGGAAAAATCACATACCTCTCCCTCCTTCCTTCCCCCTCCCGCCCCCGGTAACCGGTATATTAACATCCCTATGATTCTCCCTATCCAGCTGCGCCAACTCTCTCAGAATTTTCGCATCCTGTTTCTTCGTCGTTTCCGCACCCAATCCCGCACCAGCTGGGCCGCGCGCGCGGCGCGCCGAAGGCTGTAATCCTATTTGCGGCGCATTGGATACATCGGGTACATATGCGTAGCCTGGGGCTGGAACGTATTTTGAGGGCGCGATTTCAAGGACGCCGAAATTCATATTTGGGTGTGAGATTTGTAGAGCATGTGAAGAGACGTGAAGGACTAGATGGAAAAAGTTGGTGAGGTTTTGTTTCTAGAGGGCGAGGCGAGGCTGAATATTGTGGATGGTGAGGTTTTGCGAGATGTGGAAGTCATGGAATATAAGGACTTTTTTATTTTATTTTTGGAAAAATTAATGAACACATTTACTAAAGCTGTATTTATTATGCGATCCAGTCAAAATTATATCTCAGCATTACAACTCAAAGCTTTACATTGCTCCAAAGAAGCTTCTTTGAGTTCGCACACACCCCACCACTTAAAATCATTATAAGGTAGGTACTTGGAGATGTTTCTTATTTCCTATAAACCTAGCATTATGCTCGCAGCTCGCAAAGATATTCGTCAAATCAACTCATCGCATCGCATTTCGGATATTATACACGATCTCCTTCCGCTTGCATTCTCTTCCTAGCTTCCCGCACTATGCATTTTCCTCGCAATCGCCTTTCCAATCCCTTCTCGTCCACTGACATTCTCTCTTGACTTATTTCTTCTTCTTTTCCAAATCTGCAAGCTTTTCCTCTAGCGATTGAACATATGTGTGAACTCTCTGTACTGAATTTTGCAGACTCTGTATTGTGCCTTGGTTAGCCTTGTTTCCATCCAATCCACTTCTTATCATTAGATCCTCCCTCTCCCTCCTAGCCCGCAACATCATTCCCTCCAAACCAAATAGCAAAGATCCAAGAGAACTAAAACTCACATAAATATCCTCTGTCAACAACTCATTGCTGACCTTGTATTCCTCGAGAATATAATAGTAAACTCCCGCACCGGCTAATGTTGATCCGAGTAAGAAGCCAGTCAATCTAGAGATCCCCATACAAATTAGCTTTCATCTCCATCTAGCTGTATCATTTTCTATATTCTTTCCCCTCTTTCCCTCACACCCGTTGAGCCCATCGAACCCATCGAACCCGTCGAACCCGTCGAGCCCGCCGAACTTTAGACCCCTCCCCTCCCATGCTTCCCCTCCACACCAAACCAATCTTCCAAACAAGAAAATTCCAAACTCACCCTCCTCTAAAGGCCCCAACCGGCTTCCTAACTGGCAAAGGAGTTTCCGTAATCTGAGCTGCTCTCCTCGCACTCATTGAAAACCCTCTGGTAGCTCCCGTTACTGGTGCGCGAAGCATTCTGCTTGCTGGTGATAAGATGCGCGATGCCATTGTGTTTATAATATTATGTCCCGGGTTCGCAATATCGTGGTTGATAGTGTGAAAACTGATTGTCGATCAAAAATGCCGTCAATTGCTTTGTTACGTCGTGGTGCGGAGTTCTTTAAGCGGCCTCTTTCGTATGTTTTGTTGAAGATCAAGCTTTTGTTTGGAGCTTTCCCCGGCCGACCAACTAACTTCCTGAGGCGCGAATATTTTTTGGCTAAAGCGATGCGGGGTGATTTCACGACACGATTTACAGCACCAATCAATCAAATCACTTCTGGCGTACATTCTAACAGAACCTAAATGAGTACCTAGGTAGGTGGTGTCTCTAATAATAAGTGGTTAAGATAAAAAGATCTACATAGTTCAAACGATAATTTATCACGAGTAAAAATCAGATAATCAAATAAAAAATTCTCATTTTGCTCCAGTATTGCTCCAATGTTATTGCCTTAACAATTTAAAGAACCCCAACCCCAATATCTGTTGCGATTAAGCTACAGATACATGAAACAGAAGAAACCCAAAATTTCTTTTCGAAATCAAATCACAACTCGTCATGGTCCTCAGTAGCAGCTGCGGTCTCAGTGGCCTCAGCAACCTTGCTAGAAACGGTCTCACTAGCCTCCTCAGCTGCGCTCTTGACAGACTCAGTAGCGGCTTCTGCTTGCTTGGCCAAGGACTCAGCGATTGGCTTCTCTGCCTCTGGAGAAGCAGCGGCACTCTCATCATAGGTAACTTCAATCTCGTGTTGGCCATTCTCCTTAACGAACTTGATCAAATCTTCGATGCTACGGCTACCGTTGTAGGTAACTGGGTTCTTCTTGTCACCAGCCTTGTACAACTTGATGGTTGGGAAACCTTGAATCTCATCTGGAACATCGTTAAGAGTAGCATCGACCTTGGCGATGGTAACCTTGTCATTGTGACCGGCATCAGCGTAAAGACCAGCGAGGATATCGTATTTTGGTGCGAGAGCCTTGCAGTGTCCACACCATGGAGCGTAGAACTCAATCAAAACATCCTTCTTGTCATCTAAAACGATGTCATCGTAGTTGTGAGCGACGACGATTTGAACTGGGCCTTCTTGCTTCTCTGGGATTGGCTCAGACTTGATGCTTGGCTCAACCTTTCCGTCAACGTATTGTTGAACGAACTTGCTGATGGAAGCTTCGGTGATCTCAACACTTTGGTCGAAAGGATATTTCTTGTTGTCAACAGTGCTTTGGATAGCGAAAGCGGGGAATTTGTCAGCGTCGAGGTTCAAGTTACCAGCATGAGCTCCGAAAGCCTTTGCGTCAATGGTTGCGAAGCTGATGGCACCACGGTGCTTCTCTGCGACTGGCTTAAGAGCCTCAGCGAGAGTAGTTCTCTCCTCTGGGGTTTCAGCGAAAATGTATGCCAATGGAATTCCAGTGGCCATGTATCCGGCGTATGTTTCTGGGCCAACTTCGCCGATCAAGGGGATAGACGCAGTCTTTGCAAACTTCTCAATAACCTCAGCGTCGAAAGCATCTGGGAAGATAGCTTTGCCCTCATCGAATGACTTGTAAAGAACAACGGATGGGAAGCTAACACCCTCGGCTTTTGCCAAAGCGGCATCATTACTGGCACCGAAGAGGTAGTCGTCACGGAGTTTCTCTGCGACTGTGTTGAAGGTGGCGTTCGAGGTCTTGTCCTCAGCATCGAAGTATGCAACCAAAACTACCTTATCGGCGGTCTTGAAATCCTCCAATGTATCCTTGGTTAAGACGGAGACGGCGGGGAGGGATTGCTTGGTCATGTATGAGACAATCCTAGATGCGTTTGTTAGTTTATTGATATTACTGGCAATGGAATACTTCTACTCACGCTGGGGCCTTTCTTGCTCCAGAATACGGGGAGATGTTTTCTGGGCCACGGAAGACCTTGAGAGTTGGGTAACCCTCAACACCAAAGCTTTGGCAGAGGTCGGCTTCTTCTGTGCAATCAACCTTGGCCAAGGCAATCTTCTTCTCCTTCAATGTTGTAGCAGCTTCTTCATACTCCGGGGCCAATGCTTTGCAGTGACCACACCAAGGTGCGAAAACTAGAGAACAAAAGTGTTAGTCGGTGGTTCATATGAGAGGCAGCTGCATTAGATTGGAGAAACTTACATTCTAGAAGGGCCAGATCATTCTCCTTGATGAAATCTGGGAATGTTTCCTTGGTAAGGGAAGCGACATCAGAAGCCGAAGCAATTGCAGCTGATGCAAAAGCTAAGGCAACACATTGTAGATAACGCATATTGAAGGTATTTCAATTCACGGGCCTATGGTGTCAATGCGTTAGAGGGGGATGCCAATGTGAAAGTGTGAGATGCGCAGGTGTAAATAAGAGTATCCCGATTCAAGGGAACTTTTAGAAACCTCAATGATGAGATGATTGGAAACTTACGTCTGCGTAAAAAAAAAAAAGAGGTGGTTGTTAAAAGAAAGAATGGATTGTGTTGATTCGGGGAAGAAGAGGAGAGGTGTTCCCTTTATTCGATGATTCGGCTACAGTGAATTTATCAGCCTTCCCGCTAGTGATTAAGATAACAGCGTGTCTTTAGTATTTTTGTGTACGATTACGGAGTACAGGTTCACAGATTCACAGAGCGATGTTATGCCGAATATCCCTTATGCGTAGCATGTACCAAGACTAATTTAACCCATACAGAACATCAGGCTGAATCATTTCGACCATTAGAAATCCAAAAATGAATAAAGGACAACATATCATTATCGCTTTTATCTCATCAATCACATATTCTGTCGCCAATATTGAGACTTTGTATTGTATATCAAACATTCAAGATGGATCTGGTCCCCTGTTTTGACCCCGCCTTCAGTGATGATCTGTCGGTAACTATTGATCCGCAAAGCTGGTTAGACTTTCTTCAAGGAGAGGAGTGACATCCACAGGAAGGTACTTTAAACTCCAAAATATACATCTCCAACCTTACCTCATAAACTCTGCTTCCAGTACCCTCATATCAGCACGATTGATACTCGTTGAACCTTTTGTCTGTCCTTGGACCTAGTATGTATGTAAATGTACGTAGATATCGACAGTTATCATATCATGAAATGTCAACCCCAGCTGAAGGAGGCAGGCGAGGCGCGTAAGTCAAGGTAAGGATGGGTTCAGCCCCCTTTTCTTTGCCTCTTTGCCTCTTTGCCTCTTTGCTTCTTCACTTACAAATTACAAATTTGGTTCAAGCCTCTTTCCTATGTCTCTTCTCTTACAGATCCATACTTTTTGTGAAAGTCCACCAGTTATGGATAGGTAGCCGCTGATGGATATGACTCGGGCATTCTGCGTAAGCCAAAAAGCTCGAGTTCAAGTATGCCTTGTGATCTGAAACAATGGAACAGTTCTTCAGATCGGATTACTGATCAGTCTATTCATAGCCACTCTTCATAGCCACTCCAATACACGATATTGGCTCATCCAGCAATGTTGAATTCCGGCGCATATTTGATAGATTAGGAGTAGCGCATTGTCTTCTATCGGAAATCCTGTCGTGAACCTTTGTCAAAGTTTAGACATATCTCACACTAACCACAGATTTCGCAAAGCCTGTGTAGCTTCAATTTGCCATGGAAGCATCAAGAAGTGTTTTATCCATGAGATACACACACTCTCCTGCGTAAAATGCAGATCTCTGTCACAGTTTGACAAATCCCGATTGACAGTGAACTTTCACCGTCTCTATGATACTCATCATGGCAATGTCTTAAAGCTGGTAGAGATGGCCTGTTTGTAAGTACAAAAGGTATAAGATTATCATGCATTTCTCTCCAGCTTTTCTTAAAATGGAGGAATAAAACGGTTCTCATGATAATTATATATCTGACATCGAAACACGAGTAAAATAAGAAGATTGGTGATAAAGAGAAAACGCCAGATCCAAAGATGCCTTGGATGTCTCAGGGATGAAAATGATTTCTAAAAGAACGATATATCATCCAATGTGTCAAAAGCTTATGAGAGGCTCATACATTATGAGCCCAAGAAGATGTATAAGAGAGAACTTCCTGATATTGTCAAATCCTGACTTGATATCAAGATGATATATCTGATACCTACTTCCGAACAGAATTTCCGGATAGTTTCCGGTCAGGGCAAAATGAAGGTGCTGGTGTAATGATGATATGACATGAGGTTGAGATGATGCATATCAACCAATTTTTAATGCTACCTATGGAATTGTAGATTGATATTGAGGACGGTGGACCTATCTTTACTTCAAATCCATTTTTCAAAGAGTCTTGACATTCGAGAGGTAATAAAGTGTTGGGACCAGATTTAGAAGCCGTCATTCCCATTTGATCCTTCCCAATTAAGATTTCCCCCCACTACCTATTCTCGATCTTCATGTACTTTTCCTTCCCCTTTCACTTTTTCAACAGTACCGACTTCCCATCAACGATCAGATGTTTGTTCTCTTCCACCCTTTTGTTTGTTTGTCAAAAGTGCTATCTTCAACTACCTCTTCTTCCCTTCTCATCATCATCTGTAAATCTACAGATTCTCACAGGCTGAGGATTATCTTTTGGTCAGCTTCGAATCACTTTCTGCCACTTCTTTTTAACCTTACCTCATATCTGCACACCATTTCTCTGGATTGTTTCTAGAGTCATTAATTCCTTCATTAAATCTTATTCTCAATCCATTAACAATCATATCCATTGGACATACATCAAATGTATCCACAATGGCAACTGTTCCACCAGGAAAACAGCCAATAAATCGTGAAAGAGGGTTCAGTGGTGTAAGTGCTGGCAGCGGTATCAATGGCTCACTGAGTCCAAGCGGGATCAATCCTATGCGACAGAGGGCAAGTTTTGACAAATCATCAACACGCAATGGATCCTCGATCAGGAGCTTTCAAGATAGCATCAATCAGCCCTCGTTACCAAAAGGCTTTGAGAGTATGCTGAAAACTACAACCGAGACAGGGGATATCGGTTTATTCTCCATCAAGCCATCACGCTTGCCTCAAACTTTCAATGCATTGCCACGACGCAGCAATGGAGGTTACAGAGATATTGATCCGCAGAGATCACGTCCAACTTTTTCGCCGTATGGGATGCCCGCTGTTGATGATAGAAGACGACTACCGTCCTACACAAGAAAGGGTTCCTCGGGAGTCAGACCATCATATGATTCTGCCAGCGTTAACTCGGTCAATTCAAGTAACAGGGGTTTTGAGGATCCCGATTATCGATCTTATTCCATGACCCAAACAGCATCCCAATCACCATATACTCTTTCTAACCAAAGATCCTACGCCAGCCTTCGTAGTCAGCAGGATGGGTCTGCACTTGTCCAACGACCTCGATCGCCATTCGCATATCCAACACGCCTGAAGAGACCCGGGTTCAGACCTTCCTCCCCCGCACTCACTGACGGCGGTGGAATAGACTATAGTCGCCGTGCAGAGATTGATCGAATGCCTCATGTTAGTCGCCCAGTTCTCATTATTAAATCACTGCTTCCAAATTATCTTCTGACTGATATTGTGCAATAGGGAGCGGTCCGAAACGTATCTTCTCCAGCTTCTTTATATGCCCAGAAACGAGTACCGCCACCATTGTCACTACGACCAGACGCGAACCGATCGACTCATTCATTGTTAAGTCAACCTTCGCCAAGGAGGCGTACGCCAAGTCCCAACCTACGACAGGGAAATGGAATGGTTGGACCAGATTGGCAACGCCGCAACGGCCCATCTTCAATTAACACATCTCCAGCTCGAAGTACACTTAGTCTTTCCTCAACTACCAATTTTGCCCCGCCGACTTTGTCTCAATCAGCAACAAATACGCCAGGAAAACCATCACCTCTGTACTATGACTATACGGAAGATTTTGAGGTGGAAACCCAGAATCGGTCAAACTTGGAGCCTCCGCCGCAATTCCAACTGCAAAGGACAATTCACGAGGATCGACCCTTAAGTTCAGCACTTCGGCCTCTTGCAAATAGTCTTCCCTCCAGACTCAATGCAAATAATAACCATCATCTTCGTGCATCATCATCGGCCTCAACCATAATTCGACATCCTATGAGGAAGAAAAGTGCAGAAAGTGGAAGTGGGATTCCAAATAATGGTGGTCATGTTCGAGCTGCACTTAGTATCAGCGCAAGGGACTGTGAGAACTCTGCGCCATCTAACAGTGTTCTTGATGATGCCAGCTCTATAGATATATCAAGTTTAGGTGCCAATGCTCAAGAGTTGAGCTCACGGGTGTCGAGAGCATTTGGCCTACACCCTTCACCGCAATTTGAAGTCACGATTACCTCAGACTATGAGGAAGTTGAAGTCAAGCAGACCGAGCTTGCAATTAGAGAAGTTGGTAATATGATTCCAAAAGGCGGACTTCAACAACGGAGTTCATCATTACCAACCACAAAAATAGCAGGCGAACTAGAAACTTCTCCATCGATCATCGAGCCACAACAAACCTCTACTAAAGGCGATGCAGGCGAAGGTATTATTCGTACGCCTGGAAAGCAATCTCTTGAAAGTCTTCCGGATAGCACAGAGCTTCAGCAACCATCGGAGGATACAAATGAATGTGACGGTTCGTCCAAATTCAACTCTGCGCGTACAAGCAAAGTCAGATCTAGTGGCATCTCCACCATTGGCAATGGTCTTGATGAATTAGCCGATCTGATTTCGACCGATGATGCTGGTCGATCCAACACCTTTGACAATGAATATACTGGACTACGAAGAACTCCTATGATGTCGCCAACATTGCCTCGAGACTCTTACTTTGATCCTCCCTCGGTGCAGCGTACCAGCCCTCCCTTATCGCTGGTCAAGAAATTGGAGCGAAGTTGTGCTCAAACTGTGGCTACTGATAAAAGCCTCGAAGATGGGCTTCAAGTTCATGAGGGGCGAATCGAAAAGGGCAAGCTACCCGACTATAGGCCACCCGAGTTTCAAAGCCTTGGTGATCAAGCTCCAAGTAAGATCATGCCTAGATCTGAGTCTCCAATGTTAGCACCCAAGCCTATCTCACCAGCAAGGGAGTTGAAATTGAAGAACAGCGTACCACAGCTTATGAAATCTCTCCCCAAAATACCCGACTCTTCAATTCGTGGATTGGCAGTGCCTGGGAGGTCTGCTCTTGCGGATGCTGATATGCCTTTTCATCTCTCGGAATTTTCCCCAAAAAAGAATTTTGGAACAATCGAGGAATATGCAGTGAGCGCATCGTCAATCGACCCACCTAAAATATATTCTTCTATAGAAAAGGAGAAGCTCAAAAAGTCAACGGAGGAAGCTGAATTGATCTCTAGCCCAGTTCATAAACATAAAATTGATCCATCTAGAGAGAGTCATGGCCCTCGCTCTTCGCCCATGAAGTTGAAGCTGAAGGTTAGAAATTCTGTTGCAGAGAAGGCATCATCTTCGGATCTTCGGGCACGAAAACATGAGGAGACTTTCTCATGGGCTAGTTCGCAGGACAGTAATATACCTCCGATTAGCCAAGAAGAACAAAGTGGAGATTTGAAGCCTGCTAAGCTCAAATTGAAACTTATCAGAGCTACAGGCTCAGAAGCTTCCGGAACTGTAAGAGTCCATGACCAATCCAGATCTAGCAACGATCTGCATGTCTCATGTCCGAAAGATCTATTTACGCCTACCAGTGGAATTGACAATATATTCAGGCAAGTTAGTAAGCATCTTCATTCGCGGAGACCTAGTGCGAATAGTGATCAACATTCTGGAGATGTTATTGAGATGATGCCAAGCCAAGTATCGCTGAATTTGTCTTCTCGCTTGAATCTTGGCGTGCCTCATGCTGATCTATCAGGAAACTTGCCGAGCCCCACTGACGCCCGAAGCTTTTTCTCCGATGACAGTTCTCATCGCAATGGTGGTCATGGTTTACGAAAAAGAATTTCAAACTTTCGAGCTCGCGTTGGTGTGCCATACGTAGCTCGTAATGGATCATATTCTTGTGATGACATAGTCTGGAGAGATCAAGTTGGAGGGGTTGGCCAATCGCCTCTAGCTGTCAAGTCCGTCGCTGATCTCAACGCCACGAGGACCAGCTTCATAGATTCACCAAATCCTCGACGTTCAGAGCATAGGCTGCATGGACATCGGTTGCGAGCAAAAGTGTCTGAATGGTTTCGTGGAGCTCGAGCTGCTATCTCGGCTCGTGTCAAATCGCGAAGTACAACCAGTACTGGTAATGAAAGATCAAGGGCTAGTGCATGATTCTCTGGGCATGGCACTGTGTCGCCTTGTTGATATGTAGCTTGTGATACTTGTATTGAGCTTGTCATCCGGTTTTGGAGGAAAGATACTAGTCTGGCTGTTTTTTTCTTTCTTGTTTTTGCTGGTGGCGTTTGGGCGTGTCAAGGCCGAGATTTGCATGGGATGGGAGGGGGTGGAGTTTTAGCTCACTGGTGATAGGAAACAAATTAGACTGAAAGAAAACAGTAATGTTAATGAATATTATATATGATTACGATAGAAAGGCCCTGCATTGGTTTATGTGAGTCGCTGTAGTTTGTATTTTGAGGTGCAGGTACTGGGTAGTAGTGAGGGAGAGCCGAGATAACATCAATTCATAATGTGAAGAAAACGTCTTGTGCAATCTGGATTCATTACGCAATTATTTATTGAAGGCAAAGCCACGGCCGTTGAAGCTAGTCTAGTCTAGTCTAGTCTAGTATGCAGTACTGAAATGAACAGAGGTTAAACCTTAAAGGAAGATGATCCACAAGCTTAAGTCTCGGTAAAAGTTTCCGTGTGGTGTTCTGAGCTAATTATGCTAGGTGGCTAGGTGGCTAGGTGGCTAGGTGGTTAGGTAATCTTGGGGGAAGTTGATCTGCAAGTTAGGAGGTTAGTGGGTTAGGAGGTTAGGAGGTTAGGAGGTTAGGAGGTTAGGAGGTTAGGAGGTTAGGAGGTTAGGAGGTTAGGAGGTTAGGAGGTTAGGAGGTTAGGAGGTTAGGAGGTTAAGAGGTTAGGAGGTTAGGAGGTCACTAGATAATTGTTGTTGGATTAAGGTTTGGGGGGTTGGAGGTTGGGAGGTTGGAGTTGGAGTTAAGGGGTTGGAGTTGAGGGGTTGGATGTTTGAATATGGAATATATGGTGATGGTGTGGTGTTGTGTATTGGGTATGGTGCATTGAATATACATAGCATATAGTATATCTTGGGGGAGAGGGAGGGGAGGGGAGCGGGTAAGTTTGGTTAGGGAAGGGTAGGTGAGATTGTCATTAATTGGTTGATGGGTTGATTGGTTGGTTCAAGTGTTGATTAAAAAGGAGGTGGATTGAATTTGGTTTTGTTGTGCTCTGTTTAGTTTAGTTTAGTTTAGTTTAGTCCAGGTATCTTTATATTGAGTTTGTTTTCGTTTGGTTTGTATTGGTTTGTATTAATACTGGGATTTTAGTTTTTGTTGTTGGGAAGATTGGGTATGAGAAGAATGGGAAGATGGGAGAAGAAGAAAGGAGTTTAACTTATTGAAATCTTGATGTGCTTGCTGGTTTGTTGGTAGTTTGATGGTTAGTGGATGGTTAGTTTGCTGTTTCTTGGTTCTTGGCTGCGTCATAGATGATGGATGATGGATGGACGGAGTAAGCTTTTGGGATTTTGGTATGAGGGGTGAATTTTGTATACTGGGTATGTGATCTTGGATTTGAGAAAGAGGGGGTTGATGGGAGGTGATGGAGGTTAATGGATGGATAGATAGATGGAGTGGTACTGACAGGGTAACTTGTGAGTATCTGTGTATGTACTAAGTGATGGATTGTCCATTGTAGTATAGTGCTCATGAAAAACTTTCCCCTCCTGGACATGGGCCTGCAGAAAAGTTTAGGCGGAGGGGATAGGACATGAATCTGAGAAAGTTGCAAGTTGAAGCGATGCTTGATGATGAAACCCTAGAATACTGATATCTGTCCAAAGTTCTAAACACATAGATGTATTTTATAGCTAACAGGAGCCAAGAAAAAGAAAGGAAGGAGATTGGATGTTGAGTTTTGTTGGGAGTTTAGCTTGTATTTGTATGTGTGTTAGAGGTAAGAGGGGACTGATAGACGTCATTTTTTATTATCTAGTTGTTGTGATGGGATGAAGATCAGTTCTAAGTACCAGTACATAGTTTTGAGCGGGGAAGAGTAGACAGTTATATCTCCCCTTTCCCCAACTCCTGAGTGTTTGGTCCTCTTCCTCCATATTGAGAGAATATAAAATAACATTGATTGCATATACCGAGTTTTTGGGCTTCATATATACTTTATCAACCTATTTCTTCTATCTTTACCACTGTGTCGTCTGTTATATATGAAGATAGCAGTTGGATTATATACATAAGAATTTTCGATCATATCCATTCTTCCTCGATACAATTTAAGATCTACTCATACCTTTCCTGATAGTCTCCTACTCTATCTTGTCTCCCACTATCGCACACATCTACCCACCATCGAAATGACAAATATAGTGCAAATGTACCGACCTATCTTCGGCTCCAAAAAGAATAGGAACCAAGGACTTAGAGTCGACACTACTGTTGTTCACTCAACGCCTACGGATGCCATTACACCTCCATCCTCCGGTACTGTGTCCAATTCTGCGATGTTGATTGCAGATTATCATATAACGAGAGGCACTGCCAGTACAGTCACGCCGCCTGAATCACCGGTATCGCCGCTGGGAGAGTCGATGAACAATAATAGAAATGGAGATTCGAGTTGACAACGAACGAATAGCGTGAATCCTATCGAAGGATATCGGCGAAACCCTCAGCCAGATATGAGAGTGATAGTGGAAGGTGCAGACATTCCAAGCCCGGGTTCAGCAGAGTTTACGGAGCACGTGAGTGAGGTTGTTGAAGAGGAAGAGATTGTTACGGCCAAGAATTGTGCGGATAATTCTGCAGAACACGCTCGTCCAGATAGAACTGAAAGGAGGATGAGCTTTTGGAGGTTCAAAGTGAAAGGAATCCAAAGGGAGACGGACGAAGTGACGCCTCCAGTAAGTGGTGGAGCGATTGATAGCTCCAAGTCTCGTGCGTCTGATGAATCAATTGGTGTTAAAGTTGGATCTGGTGGTGGATTTCCATGGTTTAGACGGATAGGGAGTGGAAAGGGGCAAGAGAAAGAGAAGGCAAAGGCAAAACAAAAGGAAGAGAGCGAAGAAATTGATGAGACGTCATCAACTACGCCTGTCTTCAATTCGCCTTCCTGGAATTCAAATTCGGCGAGCAATGGAAAGTGGAAGGGCAAAGAAAATGAGAATGAGGGAGAGAAGAGGAGAAATAAGAGCGAGGGCGAGGTTGCACTATTCAACAAGGTAAGGGAAGGAGAGGAGGAAGACAAAAAGGGAAAAGGCAGAAGGTGGACACTGCCTCGGATCGGAAGAAAGAATGTTATAGATGCGCAGGAAAAGGAGAGTCCATCGGAACGGTTGGAGAGAGAACAGTTGGAGAGAGAAAGGGAAGAACGGAATATCGCTAACAGGGCAAGATATCCCGATGGCGTTCTTGATTGTGTAAGTTTGTTTTTATTTTTGGTTGCGATTTTTCCATTAGGTAGGTACATTAAGGTTTGCGCAAGAAGAAGCTAATTTGTTTGCTCCTGCTTTCAGTGTAAAGACGAATTCAATGACCAAGGACAATGCGCTGAAGGCCAAATGAATGGGTTTATGTTAACTGCTAAGAATCTCAAGGCCGAAGCCAAGGCCAGGAGACAAAGTGTCACTGCTCGAATAAGACCCTAGAACACGGCACCACCAACAATGAACACGCGCTCTTCTTCACGCTTGACCCATTGAATTATTTTGTTGGCACCTTGAGCCAAACCCGCGCGTGAAGCGTTAGGGCCGGCTACACAGTAGAATTCGAACTGGGGGGTTGTCCAAGCGAGGGAGATACTGTCGCGGGAGACGCAATGGAGTACTTTAAGATGGGAATGTTTCTTGTGGGTTGCGGAGTGTAGGTTTTGATATCGATTCATCAGTCTGATGTTGGTGTTAGTGGTTTGTGGCTATCTACGATGCTTATAATTGATGGCATGTGGCGATACCCTTAATAGCTACTTTGCAGTATTCTATAACACGGTCGCTTTGGCATTTAATAATGATAAGAAATGGACTATTATATCTTACCTTCGACGATTGACGAGGTTGTTGTAATAAGGATCAAATGATGGCATTGTGAATTGAACATTTGCTCGTGACTTGTATAGGAAATGTCGCAAGGGCGTTCCAGGAGCAATATCAGTTGTCTTTGGACGTCCCTGGCGAACGGCAGCTTTGATGATGTTCATACTTCCATTCTTTTCAAGTTGATTGACCACATCGTCGCGCATTTGTTTAAGCTCAAAAAAGCTTTCCTTATCAGCGCTTATGAGTAGCACTGCAACTTCGTCTTCCGTTCTACCCTTTTTGTTTTCGGAGACATCGTCTTTAATAGGTTCGCCATTTTCCACGCTTAGGAAGCTCACATACATGTAGAGATATCCTCGATTGTTGAATCCCGGGAGACATAAAGGAATCCAATTCTCCCCGCCTCCAGCTCGAACCCCACCGGCTTCGAAAAGCATGTTGAATATGAGTTGGAGGTCGCTAGGATGTAACGAATGTCGTTTAGGACGTATCACACTTACAAGCCTACCACCTGCTACAATCAACCCGTAAAGAAGCTTGTCAGTTCGTGCTTTCAACAGAGTATTGTTTATAACATGTCGCTGGGACTTCCGCAATTTCAAACATTCCAATGCAGACAATAATGCAGATGGAGAGCCTTTAGTAAAAGTGTCCGCGAGTGATGATAGTAAGGATTCAGTTCCCTCTAAAGGTCGGCGAAGATCTGTATTTGGTCTGTTTGAGAACAAATGTGTGAGAGTTGGTAAGGTCAGGGTTGATAAAATCTGCATATATAACGCTTCAAGCTGACCCTTCAATTGAGCATCACTCTCGCCAAGTTTACTGATAGCAACAAAATATAAAGGTCCATCGGTTGAGATCACGAATCTTGTGCGGCCTGCAGTAAATCCTGTAAGGGGATCTTTTGAGCCCTCGTAGAATGATATGATCGTTTGAATAATCCCAATGTAGCCATTGATAAGGTTTTGGTCCCCATGGCGACTGTATATAGGTTTTCCGGCGGAGGAGAGAATCAAGTAATGCTTGAGTTTTGACTTCCACTGTATAAGTAATTCCTCTTCGTTGCCGCCCTTGCTATCAACCTCCCCTATTTCGTCGAATTCGCGGTCGAAATGTACAAGAGAATTATCCTCAAACTCCTCTGCCTCGTCAATCGGCTCCCCATGATCCGCTTGTGAATTCAACAATTTCCATGCCGGGCTTTGCGCGTTAAGTCCATCATCAAGTAGACTTGCAAGATCTCCATTCGCCTTTAAGGTTGGCGCATAACTCACAAGGCTTGCATTATCATCATTGTCACTTCCCTCGAGATTCTTTTTCTTGCTTAGTGATGAGACTGATGAAGAAACGCCATGTCCCAATTTCGTTTCCGATACCGATCGGCTGACTGGTGTAGAAAAGGTACCTCTTGTGCCATCGGGGAATGATAATGTCTGTATGTCGACTGACGATAATGCCGTGGTAGGCTGAGACTGCAATACCGGTCGCTTTGGAGCTCCTGAAGTTTTGGGTCGTTCTGGTGTTGTCTGGAGTAGTGGACGTCTAGGGGGCAGAGGAGGCCTTCGCTCTTTTGCATCATCGTTATCTAAGGTATCATCTTTGTTTGCAGCAACCTCGGGGGCCTTTGTGTCGAGTGTTTCCATAGGGGCTTCGGAAGCAGTATCGTAATTCACGCCATCTGAGGCCGTGGATCCATCTTCACCGGTCATCGCACCCGTCGTAGCATGATTGACCGTCGCTTTCGCAGACGGAGATCCTTTATTTGTTGCATGTGCTCGTTCATTGGGAGCTGCATCCGAGAGGTTAGGAGAAGCTCCCATGAGGTCCCTGCGGGGAAGGGGGTATTCCAACTAAACGGTAAACTCACATTAATTTTTATAACTGATTTGTATACAGCATATTCATGCTGGACTTGCAATAATAACTTACCACTATACAAATGGTTGTGAATACTTTTGGATTTCTCGAGATATAACAGGGATATTTAAGGCTGTAGTTTATGCGGGCAGGGCTGGAGCCACTCCACTGAATGATGGAATTTAGCGACAACCTGTCAGCCTTGGGAATTTAGAGAGGCACATTGAATCGACAGATGAAAGAAGCCACGCGTACGTCATGAATTCATGAATTAATTGCAAACAACAACAATCGAAAGATGCAAAGCGTCTTCAAATCTACTTTTGTGAAGTGCCACAAGAATCATGGCCCTTGAGCCAAGCTCTGGCCGTCAGTCGGTGTCTCCTGCGAGCTCAGGAAGAGCATCACCAGTTCCGAGAAAGTGGAGGAACCAGTTGGGGGGAGGTAGAGCTCTCAATTCTCATACTATTGCATACGGCAGAACTGATAGATTGTAACAGATGAACCTCCGAATAAAGATAAAGCATTCCGCAGATATGCATCCGGCGTCGATCGCTCGCTCTCGCTGTTTGACACAGCCTTACAGGAATGGGCGGATTATATTTCTTTCTTGGGGAGGTTATTGAAGGTGTGTGGTCTCAAGAATGTGAATAGAAGAAACATACTGAGACAATAATTATAGTCGTTACAAGCACATCCTACCAATATAGCTACTGTCCCATCCAAAGCAATTGTCGCAAAACGTCTTGCTCAGTGTTTAAATCCTTCGCTGCCTTCAGGTGTACACCAAAAAGCTCTTGAAGTCTACGGATATATATTCTCGATGATAGGGAAAGATGAACTATCTAAGGATTTACCTCTCTATCTACCAGGGTTATCGACCACTCTGTCATTTGCGTCCCTTTCTGTGAGGGGCCCGTTCCTTGAACTTCTAGAAAAACACCTCCTTAAAATTGATGGACGATCACTCCGGCCAGCTTTGAAAGCAATCATACTTGCTTTATTACCTGGTCTTGAGGAAGAAAACAGTGATGAGTTTGAACGTACCTTGAAGCTGCTTGATGGTTTTAAACATTCTGTCAGACCTTCCGGAACCGAGGATTTGGGACAGAACCATAGCAGTGGTGACGAATATTTCTGGCAATGTTTCTTTCTTGCTGCAATAACGAGCAATGGTCGTCGTCTGGGAGCATTGGCCTATCTCAACCGAAATCTCCCAAAACTCGGACAGTCGTCCTCAGAGCAAATTAATTCCTCGTCTAATGGGTCTCATAAGAATGATTCGAATACGAATCAATCTCAATTGGCGGAAATTGTTACCTCGCCTGAACCTGGGCTTCTTCTACGATGTTTCGCTGCTGGTTTAGGGGATGAGCAAATCTTGATTCAACGCGGATTTTTAGATCTCCTGGTTACGCATTTACCTCTACATTCTAATGTTTTGCAACAACGTGTCAAACCGGAAGATCTCGAGCTCCTGGTCACGGCCGCTGCTGGCGTTGTAACTCGACGTGATATGAGTTTGAATAGACGTCTATGGACATGGCTTTTAGGGCCAGAGCCAGTTGGCCATGAAAATGAGAATGGTCCTGAATCACCAACATCGGTTACTGGAGATCCTCTTGGGTCGCATACTTCTTCAAGGACCCAGTACTTCGAAGCTCATGGCTTACATCCACTCACACAAGCTTTGCTTAAGCTGATAAAACGAGAGGCCATAAATCCCATTGCAAAAGCCCGGCCGTTTCGAATATGTCTTTCCTTGATGGATCGATGGGAGATTGGGGGACTTGTCGTTCCTGATATATTCCTACCTGTTGTCAATAGTGTTCGAGACTATAAGAGTAAAGCAGTGAGCAAGGCTGACTTTGCTGAAGTTCTTAGAAGTGCTAGCGTCTTTTTTGATGGTGTTGAAAGTGGTTTGATTTGGGGCGAAATCGTTGGGTTGATTGCACAGGCATTAGCTCCTGGAAATTTGTCTACTGAAGAGCAAATTGATAAATTGTCCCTCGTCACCTTCATAATCAACCATTTCAACGTACGAGAAGAAGAGATGCTGCTGATACACGCCCCATTAACAACTCTGACGATTTTAAATATGCTGGAAGATGCCAAGGAAAGAATTCAGGAGCGTGCAGAGACGGTTGGCGTCAAAAATGAAGTTGAGCAATTAGCATTAAATCTTGTTATGGATTTGATCGATCTCATTCCAGAACGAGCTTTTCAGGTGCGGCCTTCCACCGGTCAGTCGATGGTCAGACATGATGAACACGAGATCAAATCTCTTTCGAATACCGAGATAATACGCAGTATGAAGACATTCTATGTCCAGGAACAAGGCAATTTAGATGCATTTCCACCACCATTTTCAGCTCGTGACCTTAGCGAATTGCTCGTCCGCGAAGGCGGTAGCATAGTTAACGAGAGTCTATCAAGTTCAGTGTCAAGTGCTGATGCTGGTCTCAAAACGAGGCTCCTCGTAATGCTACTTTCAAAAGTATCCAGGGTTGGAAGTCTTGATGTTCCGGGACTGCTAGAGTCTATGCAAAGGAAATTGAGCATGCCATCTCAACTTCCATTTCTCACATTTACCTCAATCGTATCTCTTTGCACCAGTCTTTACTCGAATCATTACATCTCATTGCCACAGCTATCCAATCTCGTAGGTCCTCTCGTTCGATTAGCTTGGTCATATCTTTCTGCTTCTCATCCAAAATATCATGTTGAGACTGTTCGAAGCCTTTGGCAATTACAAACAACACTCACACTTGACAACCACGATATAGAAGCTTCGATATGCAATTTGATGATAGAACATGATCTGAATGGTACATATGCATCTCGAGATGCTGACCCTGGACGGAGCTTCAGCATATTATGGACACACTCACTCCAAGACAATGCCGGTCACCTTGATCGTCGTAGCTCCAACACTGACATCAAGAATACACCTCGACTTTCTGGTATTGGAAATTATGAAGTTATGCTTGCGAAACCTCTTTTCCTGTTGCTTGATGCTCTACTTGATGAACGAACACAACTTTTTATGACTGTTCGGATTTGGCTACAGAGTCTTGTTGGCATTGACAGGTACGTGCGTTTATGTTATTTAAGGATTAATGCTTACTGTGGCTCAGGCTATTTCATCTTTTCGTAGCGAAGTTCTCGAATTATAGTTTCCTTTTTACAAAATTCGAGGATGCTGGGACCACAGCCCATCATAACATGCGTATCTATGCAGATGACGATGATCTCGATCAGTGCTTGTACTATCTTCAAACACTTTCTAACGTATTGCGATGGTCTTCCGATAGCACATGGGCAGCACTTGCTCGCAACAGCATTTCTACTGACAGATCTCATCGCTCTCTATTCCAGATAAGTAAGTTTGAGTTATCATGTATTGGTTCTGTGCTGACAATGCTACAGCTGGTAGAGACGATGAAGTTACACTCCTAGAGTTCTTTCTGCATGTGTGCTTACAAGCCATTTCGGGGACATATGAACCAGAAAACTCGGAACGAAAGCCACACATCCATCAATTCCATCGTACTGCTCTAACTCTTCTACACCAAATACTATTGAGTCCATACTCTTTGTCATTAGGGGAGCTTCAGTTAGAACATGTTCTCATTCAGAGATTAAGCCACTCGTTGACTGGGACCGATCCCTTTATTCAGGTTCTGCTCTTAGATGTTGTCTATGCTGCTCTGAAGATTCGACCTGTTGTCAGCCTGCCGCCGGCATCGCCTACTCTCAAAAAGCGCTCCACTATGACTTCTATAACTCAACATGACGATGCATCTGTTTCTTCGCTTGCAATCGACCAGAGCGAACACACAGGACCTTTCCTACCTCCTCCACCACCATCATTGGTGAAGTGCTTACAGGCAGGGTTCGAGGCCACTTCGAGTAGACCAGTTCTAGATAGTTGGGTTAGCTTTTTGACAGAATGTCTACCGTTTTACTCTGACACAATTTTTCAAATCCTTATACCATTAGTCGAAACACTCTGCTCCCAAATTGGAGAAACTTTTACCAATCTCCAAACCACATTCAAAGACTCAGGTACGGTTTCTGAAGGATCCACGGCTCCAGAATCCACATTGATATCCCTGCTCAATGGCCTCGAGTTCGTACTTGCCAAAGGGCACGATCGATTACTGAAGGATGAAACAAAAGCGCCCATTACTAAAAGTCCTGATCAACCACAAGGATTCTTTGGAAATATGGTTTCTGGTGTCTTCAACTCGGAAACTCCACAAGCAAGAAGCATAACTGCTAACAACCGCCTAACTGTACTACTCTCGTTCCAAGATGCTGTTCGAATCTGCTTCCTCATTTGGTCATGGGGCGGTCAAGATGGAGCTCAGGATAGTGAATCTACTGCCTCCTTCAATTACACATCATTACGCATGCGGAATCGAGCTCGGAGACTGCTTGAGCATCTTTTCACAGCCGAGGCATTAGAATGCTTAGAGACATTGGTTGAGATCGGGCAAAGGTCTTCCAAGGGTAGTGATTCTCGCCCTACGGCTATTTTCAATCTCCTTCATGTTCTTGACGGCTCAAGACCAAAACATACCATTCCTGCAATTTTCAACGCTATATATAGCAGGACGAACCCGAGTGCGCTGGATCCTTCAAGGAAGTCGACCTTGACATCCTCATTAAGCGATACAGACTTGGTGACATTTTTAGTGGACTATGCAAGATCACTGGAGGATGATGCCATGGATGAGATTTGGGTCGACTGTATGACTTTCCTCAAAGATCTATTGGCAAATCCATTTCCACATCGACAGACTCTCCCAAGTCTTCTGGAGTTTGCCGCCATTCTAGGAGTGAAGGTCGATAATACCAATTTCGGAGAACAGCGTCGGATGCGAAGAGAGTTGGGAGTGAGTACAAGTTGATTATTGAAGAGAGTAAAAACTAACATATCTCAGGATCTTTTCCTTCGATTACTTACTGCAATGTTCACAACTAGACCTATGGGCTTCTCGGAGAGTGTAGAAAAGTTGACAGACATTGATCAGCGGCCATCTTCATCTCGCCCCTCATCAAGATCCGATGAAGTAGTTAACATTTTAGCCTCTATCGCGCCAAATTTACCCAAAATACTTGTTGAAAATGATCGAATACTGAATGCAGCGAATGTCATCTCATCGAGTGTCATTGGACCAACCTTCAAGTCCAGATCCTTTCCAGATAACGTTTCGAAAAGCACTCTAGAGCTACTATATCAGCTCTCCAGGTTACCTAACACGCAAAAGTCGTGGAGAAAAGATCTTGGAGATGCATTCAACGATTCTCGCTTCTTCGCAAATAACGTCAGTCTCATTGAAAGTGATTGGCTGCCTTTGCTCAGACAGTGGGCATTGAGCGACAAGGAACGCATGCCGGAGTTATTGTCGCGATTAGTCGCACCTTCTACAGCTGGTATCGTGTTTGGCGTTGGAGCAACTTCGGCGCGCTTTGAGGCAGATAGAAAGTCACAACTCAATCTCCGCCGCATCGCCACCCTGGTTCTGGCTACCATGGATGATAACTTTGTGACTGACCTCCCTATCATGCAAGAGAAGATTGTTGAACTTCTCTCCGCAACTACGACATCGTCTCCCTCTTCTACCACTCGTGCAGATATTTTTCTGCTTCTTCGTGCACTCGTGCTTAAGACTTCGGCCATTCATCTCGCAACACTGTGGCCTATCATCAATGCAGAGCTTCACGTGGCTATTTCATCGGTTGTGGCACCGGATCACAGTACTCCCTCCGACACCTATAATAATTACTCTATCCTACAAGCTTGCAAATTACTAGACACTTTACTTTGCATCGCACCTGACGATTTTCAGCTCCACGAGTGGCTCTTCATAACCGACACCATTGACGCCGTTTACCGTCCCTCTTCTTTCCGACCTGTTTCTTTAGTAGACGAATTGAGTGAAGAATTAGGACTAGCAACAACTACTAATACGGCCGCGTTACTAGAATCATCTTCAGTCGCAGTTTCCCAGGCAGTTAAATATTCTATGAGGAGGCCTTTGTTGGGGAGAACGAAAGGTGGATTTGGAATTAATGATGAAGGTACTTGGGAGAGAAAAGATGAATTAGTCGCGAAGGTCCTGAGGCCATTCTTCAGTCAATTGAGCATTTTTGCATTTGAGAGTACGTATGGAATGGGGGCGACAGATTGGGAGGCTTGTAGACAGGGGTTGTTGAGAGATTTGTTTGATGAGAGGAGTATTGTTAAGGCGTTATGAGATTTGATGGGTTGAGAGGTCTGATTAATCTGGAGATTAGAAGAGGCGGCCATAAAAGGAGTCGAAAGTAGAGAAAATGATTTATAGATGAAAATGGTGGTGTGCGATAAGATATATAGGGGCGTTCAGAATTGTTTTGTTTGTTGGGAAAGGGAGAGTTATGATATGATTTGATGAGTGGGAATTTCCGTTTATGGTTTTATTCAAACAGCTATGTATAATGTAGAAAAAAAGATACAAAACATTGCAACACGTTCATGTTCTATTGTACCTCTTTAGTGAGCCGTGTAATATCATAACAAGTGGAATCTTGAGCTAAGTACCAGAGAGGTGGAATACTCTTATTCTTAATATATTCTTGATTTGGATTCATTGTAATCTTAGCTGTAGTGTTTTGCAGTCCTCGAGTTTAGCGGCCGCCACATCAAGCACTCACGTACAAATCAGCCGTTCCCCTCATCAAATTTCCAACGTCTCCTTGCTTGATCACTCCTTCCCAAACAACCTAGCTCAAATATACTCTTATATCGGTCTCTTTGCAGCCAGCCCATTACCATTATCTTTGATAGGGCATTTGAAGGGTGACCTCCGTAATACTTCATGGCCAAGTAAAATATATCTTGAATAATTCCTCTGACGCAGCGTCAACTATGAATGGCCAAATTTGCAAACTGCGAAAGCTATAAGATTGCACAGTCCATGATATACCCGTATTGCCATTCATCGTTCAAGAATGCTTCTTAAGTTAAAAAACCCCCCTCTCTATTGGCCAGAAGCTGCTCAATCAGGACACTTGTTCCGTCAATGTATAGGGGTGTTGTATTCTGTTTGGTCAAAGTCTCAACGATATGATCGTGTGTTCTTTCTGTCCATCCCGTGATTCAACCTCATTGCTAGCTTCAGTGCTCAAGGAGCGTCGGTGCTGGCATCTAGAGTTTCTCCTCAAGAACGAGGCTATCGCAAATTAGCGACCTTCATGACCGAAGTCGACGACTTTGAGATAATTCGACGATTTCTAAAGCCAAATATGCTCAACTTGTTGACATTACAAGCCGAACTCGCAGGTATCGAAGTGAATTATGAAGCCACCTGCTATATATATGACAGTAGCAGTGATACACAGGAAGAAGGATTCACACAGAGCCTCTATGCACTGCGGGAGTTCGAACAGTTGTCTCCCGGCTCACAACTGCAACTGCTAGATAGAATTAATGATACACTTCACAAGTATAGTAGGTCAGAAATGAGATTCCTAGTACGAATCTGATCATATCTAAATTTGAGATTAGATAGCGCATTATTACAAGTAACTCAAGTTCTCCGGCTAGACAACCCCATAAATATGACCTTGAAAGACTTCACGAATGGTTGAGAGATGAAGATCGGGGTGCACTTGTTTTTTTCATAAACCAGATGAAGAAATATGGGGCAAGCTATCAGGTTCGGATGCCAAAACTAGTACCTCAGATCAAGTGACTCTTATTCAGAGAGAAAGTGGGTTTTCGAGAGGAGTTGTTGTTACTCTAGTCTTTCTTTATGATCTTATATGGAGGCGTTATCGAAATGTAAGCATGCACTTTTTCATCTCCTTGACAAGGCTAAAGGACTGCAGAGAACCAAAAGAGTTGATATTGAACGGAATCAAACGTATTATTCCGAATTCAATGTCAGATCGGCGGCTAAAGTGCTCACTTCGGTTCTTGCTTCCCTTTTCCCGGGAATTGTGATATTAGCATTATACCTCATCGATACCACGTTGAAACGAATAGGCGCTATGCTTTGCTTCACGACGTTCTTTGCGTTCGTCCTGTCGCCATGGCCTCTTTCTAAGCAAGTCACTTATATGATACAGATTTGTCGCTGTAGAAGTTGTATTTATTGGAAGTGCAAGCACCAAATGAATGGCAAGTTGATCGCCACAGACCGTTTTGATGGAATAGAATCTTTTGATAGTGATGATTGTCTGCACTTTCAACTACCTGAAAATAGCCCTATTTGACGGCTGGGGAGACACACACAATGTGTTTACCGCAACACTTCTACAATGAACAATAACAATACAAACTTTCTGATAGCTCTAACTCAATGCTCATTCACCTGCGATTCCCTTGCTTTGGGGAATTTGCAGGTCGAAAGATCGGATAATGCTTAATGTAGAGGGTGGTTTTGCTACCAAATGTAAAACAATAGGGATGAAGCTAGGCGACTTGAAATATAGGTCACCAACAAGCTTCTACAGTGCTGTATAGATTGGAGAGCTCGTCGCTAAGACCAGTCGATCCTTACGGATCAATAAGGCCTAAGCGACATCGATGTAAATGCAATTTTGCCACAATGTAATCTTACTATCCTTCTGGAAAAGTTAGAGCAAAAAAAAATTGGGGGGGGGGGGGAGGGGGGGGACTTGAGCGTGCTCCTATGACGCCAATATCGATGTTGATTTCTACATTTGAGAGTAGGCTACTTTTGATGCTGATGTTCGGCCGGAAACAAGTGCTGGCGTATCTTTCACGGTATGACTGAGGGGTCAAATCGCACGATTCGCATGACTGACATGACTGAATGGTGTGAATCATGTTCTGACTCCCGGGTGTACTCTTGATCGGAAGACTTATCATCATCATCATCAATTCGGAGAAAGAGAATAGTTTCAAGACAAACGGTAGGGAATAGAGGAGCGACGGACGAGCGATCAAAACGTGAACATGCCATGTGGAAGCTACGGGAATGAACTCTGAAAAGACATATTTGCTATCAGACTGCCAGTACAATGACATACTTTTTGAACCTAAGCAATTGTTTTCATGATAGTCCACTGCACTGTACTTCGAGGCGTGCACTTGCAAAATATCAGATTAGCGTCTCCCCCGTTCAAAAACTCGGGGGTAAATAACCACGGTGTAGCTGATGAGCAAGGACTTGAAGATTATTCCCCCATCCTTCTCATTCACCAACTTGATATCTTTTCCTCTTTACTAGTTGCCTAGGTAAAATATGGATGGATATGCTCCGTCCCCTGCGATTACAGCATTCTAGCTAGCTACTCTATCATTTCTGTCCGTTATTCATTTTTCAATTCTCTGCTTTGCTTGTTTTGACGCTTGTCTATAGTTTGTTCGTTCGTAGAGTATATGAAGAATCATGAATGAAGAATGAATAATGAATAATGACACGTACGATCATTTAGGGGTGCTCGATGGGCAGTTACTATATGTATTTCCAGACACTGGGAGTGACTGAACGTCGAGATATTTTTCGGGAAGCTTCAAGCTACTGGAATCGGAAATATGGATGGGGCATATTAGTAGTGTTCATGACAAGATGATGAATTACAGTGCGGTAGCTGGACTAGTGAGTTCGTGGAGAGGAGGTGAGAATTGAGATTGAGATTGAGGTTGAGATTATTCCTGCGACTACTTGGGTACCTATTAGAAGACGAATGCAAGGATTGAAGCACGAGATCACTGCATCTAGAATATTCAAGTCTTGTTCTTTCTATACACTTGTGATTCATATTTCCCAACAGAATTTGTATTGTGTAATCCCACTCCGCTGTTAGGTACCTATGTATTGTGAAGTTACTTTTTTATCGAATAGTATATAAATGTAAAAATAGTAATGGTAATAGTAATATCGATATCAGAATAATAATTGTATCTCTGATGTCCCTAGTACTTAATAAAGTCACCAATTCTCATTCCGCATCTACAATTCTCATGTCCCCCCTCCCAAAAAATGCGAGGTTACACATCTATCTATTCATCGTTAATCATCCAATAGTGACACAACACACTTCCTCAGACCGTTATCATCTGCACACACACCAAAACAGCCGCTTCTCAATTCATACACATGATCCATATTGCAGTCCTAGCAATACCTCACCCCAGAGAAGAGAAAATCTTAGCCACATACCACGTATCACGCATCTCTATATCCCGGGTTCCTTACGCGGTAGGTAGGTACGACATGAACATCGACAACACAAGCGCTTCACCACATATCCAAGACGTCATTTGGAATCACTACATCAGCATCCCGCATTACCATTCTGCATCACGACTTGGTGTGTCGCATTGCATGAATCGTGAAAATACGCCATGTACTACTCTCTTCTGTAGGATGACATACTTCATGTATGTATGTATCTTTACATCATTATGTATGCACATCAATGTGAGAAACGTATATTCAAATCACAACGTTTGTCTGGTGATACTGCAGACTGCAGACTGCAGTTTGCAGAAGCGGTGCCTCGTGATAGATTCTTTGCACCAACGAGAAATGATATGCCATGCTGCGATATGATAGATAGGAAAAACGCAGAAACACACTTGCATTCCGCGCTATCCTCGGATACACCTCCCTTTCTCATCATTGCATTTCTCTCGCTACCATACCTCGGTACGTAGTGCGCAAGTCATATTCACCACCCCATCCCCTACCTTACCATACCATACTCATTCCAGAAGGTGCGTATGTATGTACAGTACAGCACCGTACAGACTCTGAGGACAAACCATTGCATCACATCAGATTCATATCCAACACAAACTCCCATGTACGCACGGAAGCGTACGTGGATGTACAAACAAGCACCAACGAACATGATCATGATCATCCCAAGCGGGAGATTACATTGAAACACTCCAGTAAGTTTACGGTACCTGACGCCGTTACCGGGCGCACTATACAGGACCCCCTATTTCCTCTTTCCTCTTCGGCATCATGATCCTCAGGGTATCGATAGCTACATCGCAGTCAGGACCGATGATTCTCTTCGGGATGTGCATGCAAAAAGTGGAAATGGTTATTCCATGTATCTATCGTAGTCTGTAGATATAAATAGGTGTGTAAATAAACCCCCAAACACCCATCCACCCACCCATAATTCCATCTTTCGCACCCTGGAAACAAACGAAGAAGAGAGTGAACCCCTACATCCTCTCTGTCTCGCCCTGTTCGCTCTGCCGTCGATCCTATCCCAGCAAAGTAGGCTATCTCCCATCCTCGCGTTCATCAAACAAAGGTACCCAGCAAGCGATTATCACACACCATACATGATACCACATCGCCCGGGAAAAGAAAAAGGAATTGTCAATCTTCCAATCTCGTCTATCGTTCTATGTGTTCTTCTCGAAGGCATGATCTTAGACATTTCCCCTATCTTTCTTTCATTTTAAAAACTGACTTGCCCTGTTTGAGAACGAACCCTGGTTTGTATCTTTTTGGGCACTGGAGTAATAAAACAGAAAAAAGTAAATATCTCAAAAAGTAAAAAGATTGTGTTGAGGAATTAGGTAATCAAAGTCCCTGCTTTCATCTCAATAATGATAGGTAGGATTGAAAGATGGGCAGCAGGGTAAAGAATTACCTAAATAATAAGGAAGAACAAGAACATGAACAAGAACATGAACATGAACAAGAACATGAACAAGAACATGAACAAGAACATGAACATGCATGCATTAGCTACATTACGATTCACAAAGTACCTCCTTCGTATACCACTCGGGCTATTCGCCACCCAGCTACTGTCTGTGACTGCGTGCGTAATACGAAATGTATACCTGATATCAACATCCACCAAGGTACCTGCAGGCTACAGAGTAACTAAGTGAATACGACAGCGACATATCGATTGGGCAACAATGACGTCGACGACACTCCATCCCCATTCCTCCTTCCCAGCCTTTCTCCCTCAGGAACAAATCGATTGAATTTCAATCCATGGTCGTGATGTCTCTTGCCCTTGTACCACTTTCCACACGAGACAGGGGAGACCAACAGGTACCGTTACTACCGTATGTACTCTGTACCGCTCCATTCCCTCCCATCCATCATCCATCATCCATCCCCATCCATCCACAATTCCACATCCAAAAATATCCATCTCAAGCGTCCCAAAGCCCCCAAAGCCAAATGCCCCCTCCCCCCCCCTCCAAAAGAAAAAGATATACCAAAAACAGCAATCCGTTCCTTCCCCCGAATTGTCCCTTTCAAGTAATACCCACATCATCCCTCTCCCTCTCCTTCCCATTCGTCCACTGGTCCCTCCCGTCCATGCAAAAATCGCGTGCAAACTTCACCTTGTTCCCAAGCCAACCGAGTCTCCAAGACCCTGAATAAAAAAATCCATCTGCTACACCGCAGATAAGGCTTGGCGAACAGGGGTACCCGACTCCACTTTGTGTACTCTTGTAAATGAAAAAATCGTTGAGTTGAGGGGATTTCAATTTACAGGTCAAGCCATTGATGTCATATGTCTCAGATGTGGGAGCGAATGGGGAAATCTGCCGTTGAAATCATTTTCCTTATCGTTTTTGGACCCCATCTTGATTGATGGTGTTAGTTACCTGGGAGGGAGCTGGGTTATGTATGGATGGATGGATGGATGGATGATGGATGAATGCGATTGAGCAGATAAATGCTGATTTGAGCGCAAACTCATTTGGGGAACTCGATGGATAATCTTTCGGATAAGGAGTCGACGGAGAAGACTCCGTAGATGAGATGATGGATGGACCGACCATTCATTGATGGCGGATACAGCGCTTGTATGTTGCATTCTGCATCGATCTGTCCATCCTTCGCTACCATCTCGCTATCCTCTGCAGAGTGAAGATCGAAGATTTAATATATAATCGTCTAGGGATAACCAATTTTTATGGAGCACACACGCGCACACCATACCATCAATCCAAACTCAAAGTAAGTCAGAAAGTCTCCAAGTCTCAAACGATGATGAGAGAGGAGAGAGAGAGGAGACCAAAAAACATGCTCAGTGGAGAATGAACATCCTTCCTTTGCGGATCTCCAAACAAGAGATCCCTTCATACATAATACCTACATAATACACAATATAACACATAACACGTAAAACACATTTTCCCAAGCGAATCAACAGCATCCAGTTTCCACCATCTCCACCAAGCAATGAGATTATCAACCTCCTACAAATCGTAACATCACAGTGACATTCCCGCGTGCAATCCCATTCCCAACTCCTCATACACTCACTGTACCTCAGGCATCTCCATCTCCATCTCTCTCCAAATATCAGAAACCGTTCACGTTCTAGACACGTGGAGAAACAAATCCAACACCTCGATCTTCCCCAATTTTATCAATTCTTCTCTCACAGAAAATTGGAGAAGGCGTGCGTGGAGCGTGGAGCGTGGATGTGCGATTTTTCTCCAACTCTCCACGTCTCGGTCGTATTCTCGCGGGCGAAATTTGATTTTTCGTTCTTCTAGATTTTCGTTGATCCATTGCTATATATAAATTTTCATTTTCATTATCTTCATATTCATTATCAATTTATAGGTATGTCTAGGTATCTAATTATCTATCTATCTACTCTGTATCTGTCTGTCAATCACGGTCCAGATGTTCACGTGTCGGTATTATATACGAAATTTGTATGTATCTAATCTAATTAGTATGTAACCTCACCTACCAATCAATCAATCAATCAATCAATCGCTAAACATCACAAAGATTGGTATGTAGGTACCTATTCAAACTATGTTTCACAATCCATCCCTTATTTATAATTCATACCTCTATCTCATACCTCTATCTCATACCAAAACCTACACATTACACATTACACTTTATATAAACTTTCTCCTTTCCATCCATCTCATTAATCTATCTCACATTCCTTCCTTCCTTCCTTCCCTACGATATCCTTTCTCCCTCTGCCATCCCCTCTCGAGTAATATATCGACGATAACGGGCCGGTTTCATATCTTCGGAGTCCGGAGCAGCAGGGTCATGTAATAGAGTCAAAATCTTATCTGATACATTATATCGTACATACCTAGGTTTCTCACATGGTATATTATAGATGTGAATCCATGATGATGATATGATGTGTATAGTACAAATTTGATATATATATAGATAGATATATGGGGGTTGAAAATGTAAAGATTTCGGTTAATTGGAAAGTTTTACTTGGGTATCTATCTAGGTAGGTAGGTATAGAACTATATCATCTACTGTATTTGTTTCGTTTGGATAGTAATCTGATCCGGTAGTGTATTCCGTAAATGAGAATGTATATACTCCGTATTTATCTGCGATCACAAGACAAACGCGGTAATTAATGAGAGCGTACTGAATAAATGAAAAGAAAGAGAATGAGAAAGGGCGGTAAAGGTTGATATAATAATAGTATAATAGTTTCAGACATACTTTCCTCGTAAGTAGCTAACCTGTCCGGTTTAGTTGTCTAGATAGATATATTGTATATATATACCCATATATATTCATCTATCTAAACAATTACTTATACCCTTTAAAGCCATTTCCTTAGAACATCTACCTAGGTACATATAAGCGTTTTCTAATCCCATACACATATACATACATACAAACCTGATAATCACATCACCCATTCAATTTCTCATACAAGTCCAGCCATCCAATCCATCCATCCCCAGCACAGCACAGCACCATACACCCCAGCACACCCAACAGCCTAAAAGCAACGAGGCTATATTCGCCTCGCCTCCCCTCATCTCATTTCCCCTCCTCCACCATCTATCCATCCATACCCTACCCTCTCCTCTCGACTACCCTCCCCTACCCAAATACCTCAGCACATCACATCTACCATAAAAAACTGCAGACAGCAGATGACCCTCCCATTCATTCATTCATCCATCCAAACCCCACTACACCCCTTCTCATCAGAGTCATCACCCACCCAATCCAACCACTCACAATCATTTCTCCCATCGAAATCCCCATCTAGAAAGCTTTCGCGTTTCAGAAATTCAGGGGAGGGGGGCGAGGGGGGGATGTACTTCGTATGGATGATTGGAGATGGAGAGGTATTATGTATGTTTACGTCATTGATATTTTTTTGATTCGAGTTGAGTTGAGTTGATTTAATACTGAGATTGATATATTAGAATATACTACGATATACTTACTATATTATATTATATCTAGTAAATTATTAAAAATTATTAAAGAACATTCAACATATATCAAATTAATAATTATTAAATCAATATTAAAAAAATCTATTATTTCTTTAATATATAAATTATATTATATAACTATATAACTATCTAACTATATAACTATCTATCTATCTATTAATCTAAATATACTATAAACATCTAAAAAGAATTCTTCTCTCTTTTCTCTCTTTTAATTTCTCTATTAAAATCCTATAAAACTCTTATAAAATTTCTGTATTCTTATTATAATATATGTTAGGGTTAATCCACTTTACCATTAACCTACAAAAGCATGAAGTATTCCGAATACTTTCGAAATAATGGATCTACTATATAAACCCTATCAGATAATCGCTCCCTAACATTCACCCCCATCTTATACAAACCCACCCAATATACACCAATCAGAAAGGAACTAGTCCTATAAACATAAATCTATAAATATAGAATTATACCAAAAGTGTATACAGCTATAACTAAACCAATTACCGAAATTGAATTCAAAGTATGATTATCCTCATCCAGATTTGCTCAGCAAATAAGAAGCTTAGAATAAGATACCCTTATATTCAGAACACAATATTAGAGTTAATTCATTTTACCACTAACCCATAAAAGCATGAAGTGTTCCGAATGCTTTCAGAACAGTGGATCTACTATATAAACCCTGTCAGGTGGTCGCTCCCTGATAATATATATCTAGAGTATTATATATATATATATTTTATATATAAATCTTTAATCCCTAGTAATC